CCCATGCCCGGCAGGTGCAGGCAAAAAAGGGGCTGCGGCTGGCGAGCGAGCTGGGCAGCCTGTTCTTGGAGATCTCCACCAGCGACGACTCCCAGGGCGTCTGCGACGTTTTCCAGTATCTTTGCAAGGAGGTCAGCAAACTGCAGCACGCCGGCAGCGTGGACAGGAGGCGGTCGTCCATCATCCCCCGGCCCAAGTCTCCCAACATGCAAGACCTGAAGAGACGTTTCAAACAGGCTTTGTCTTCCAAAGTCAAATAAACCTCCTTCCCCCCCCCCGATGAGATCCTGCGTGACTTAACAGACTTTATTTTTGTAAACTGGTTAATAAAAATCTTTATTTTTTTAATAATGCCAGCAGCATGGAAGTAAGTATGTTGAAGCTCGTGATTTCCTTGCCATTCTCTCTCGTTTGACTGGTTGGGTAATTTTTACACACACACAAAAAAAAATGCTGCATAGCAACGAAATAGAGGTAGTTGGGGATTTCTGCCAGGAGGTTTTGATTCCGTTCCTGCATTGGGCTGGGATTTGCTGTTTTACTTTGCTCAAATGACTTTTTTTGGGGCCTCAGTTTCCTCTTTGTAAAATGGAAATGATGTAGATATGACACCCCACCTACCTTCACAAAATGCTTGGAAAGCCTTTGGTGGCAAGCTTTATATGGAGAGAGAAAAAAAAAAAGCTTTATTAAACATGAAAATATAAAACTGTCTGTAAGCATTCCAGTTGCAATAGGATCACTTTCCTCGCTCACCAACTGCTGTTTTGCTTGCACTTGTAATCACCTGAGCCATGATAAGCTGTTAAGAATTAGTTCCAATTTCTGATGTGCTTTAGAGATCTGTCGCGCAGAATTAATCTTCTGAGCCCAAAGCATTGAACAGGAGGGCTGAGTGTCTCCTACAGATTACCGTGGGACAAAGTGCTGAGCAATCCGCAGCAGAGGAGTGTGTGGGATGGCTGTTGCTTTCTCTGGAGGTATGGGATAGGAAGGACTGATGCATAGGTTCTCTTATCAGAAAATAGCTACATTTAAAAGGAATCACATGTTTATCATCCCCAGGGCAATTCTGTAGCCATTGGAAACAGATTAGACATTTCACTTTTATGTCACATAAGCTCTACACCATACCAGAATGTTATTTGTTAACTGTTTGCTGGATGCCTAAGCATGGAAGGTGGGCTTTGCGCTTCAGATATGCCTCTGAAGTATGTGCGTTGTGCTGGTAGAAAACAAAGCTCTGCTCCATGCCGAGCAGAAAGAGTGGAAGTGGAGTAATCTGTACAGGGGCAAACTTGCTGTTGCTGCTCACATGTGACTCCAGTAAGATTTTTTTATTATTGTTTTATTTTCATAGCGTAAGTCCAAAGAGCCTTTTCTTCTTGCTGTTGTTAGGAAAGGCAGGTAACTGCTGTGTAAGTCCCTTGTAGTTAGTGGGCAGTATCTGTTGTTTCTGACTGCCAGGGCTTGAAAATTTCTGGGACGCCTCCGCTACTGATATGCAAATGAAAGTCTTCATGATGGTGGTAATCAAGAGAGGGGTGACTGAGCAAGATGATGCTCTGCAAGGAAGCATCAGAAGCCCTTTTTATCACTGGGTAGGGTGTGGGATGCCAGCAGCACTATTTCCCCATCCGGGGCCATACGCACAGCATCAGCCCGGGCATGCTGCCTGGACGTCTCCTCTCTGAAGGCCCTGTGCTGCCCTACCAAAAGGAGCGGGAGAGCTGAAGGGAGGCAGCTCCAGACCTGTAGGACCAGACTGAAACTGGGACTGCGAACTGGGTCTATAACTCTTGAATTAATGGAAGTGCAAAAGCATGGTGACAGCCTAGACAAATAAAAGTACTGTTTAAAACACATTTTAAGTATTTCTTCACTGTGAGATTTGCTCTGTCAGGCCCAGGACTCTGGGTTGGGGGCTCAAAGGGGAGCAGGGGGACGGGATTAACGAGAATGAGCACATCCCTGGCAGAATCACAGAATGGTCAGGGTTGGAAGGGACCTCTGTGGGTCATCTAGTCCAGCCCTCTGCCAAAGCAGGGTCACCTACAGCAGGCTGCACAGGACCTTGTCCAGGCAGGTCTTGAATGTCTTTAGAGAAGGAGACTCCACAGCCTCTCTGGGCAGCCTGTTCCAGTGCTCTGTCACCCTCAGAGGGAAGAAGGTCTTCCTCATGTTCAGGTGGACCTTCCTGTGCTTCAGTTTGTGCCCATTGCCCCTTGTCCTGTCACTGGGCACCACTGAAAAGAGTCTGGCCCCATCCTCCTGACACCCACCCTTAAGAGATTTGTAGGCATTTATAAGGTCCCCTGGCAGCCTTCTCCAGGCTAAACAAGCCCAGCTCCTTCAGCCTTTCCTCATAGGAGAGATGCTCCAGTCCCCTCACCATCCTCGTAGCCCTCCGCTGGACTCTCTCCAGTAGCTCCTCATCTTTCTTGAAGTAAGGAGTCCAGAACTGGACACAGTACTCCAGATGGGGCCTCACTAGGGCAGTATAGAGGGGAAGGAGAACCTCCCTCAACCTACTGGCCACACTCCTCTTAATGCACCCTAGGATCCCATTGGCCTTC